TAACTCTCACGTATCAAGAACTAACCAAGTGCTTGGCACTCTTCTAAGTATTGTGAAAGAGTGTTGAGCAAAGAACCTCTTTTCCTCCTCTGTCTCTTAGAGCTTATTTACTGAGAGGGAGGCAGAAAACTGACAAGCAAAGAGCAAAGAAAGGCTGGGCACAGCAGCTCATGCCTGTAATCCCAGCACTTTGGCAGGATGAGGTGGGTGGATCACCTGAGGTCAGGAGTTCAAGACCAGCCTGACCAACATGGTGAAACTCTGTCTCTACTAAAGATAGGAAATTAGCTAGTCATGGTGTTGCACGCCTGTAATCCCAGCTACTTGGGAGGCTAAGGCAGAAGAATTGTTTGAATCCGAGAGGCACAAGTTGCAGTGAGCCAAGAACATGCCATTGCACTCCAGCATGGGCGACAAGAGGGAAACTCCATCTCAACAAAACAAAACAACAAAACAAAACAAAACAAAACACAAAGAGCAAAGAAAGAAAGAGACAAGCAAACATCAGGCAATAATGGGTATTATGATAAGAATAGAATCAAATTATGTAATGATAACTTTGGGGATTACTTTAGTTTGGAAGGCATCGAAGGTTGCCTGAAGATGTATTTAATTTGAGATTGAATGGCAATAATGTATGACAGAAGTTACGGGTCATGCATTGAAGAAACATGCTATGTCTATATATCATGCTTGGGGCACACATTCAGATTTCTAATGCTAGACAGTCACTGCACAGCGCTGTGTATGCCCCAGCTCCCTTGGCATGAGCACAGGACGAGATCTTACCCTTGGTCCTAACAGCAAATCCTATTTCACCTCCCATCATCCTAGGACTTCCCTTCACCTCAATTCTTTTTGTTTGTTTGTTTGTTTTTTTCCTAAATAAATATAGTATCTGAACCCATTGTTAGTCTGTGTCTAGTTAATTCTTGTTTTGTTGAAACTCAGCCGTGTGTCCTTGATGATCCCAGGCCAGGGCTGCTGCAGGTTCTTCCAACTTCTCTGTGGCATATGGTGAGGAGTGAGGAGTCTGGTTTTGGACCAAGTCCCTGATGCTCCCTGAAAACCTTTTTTCAGGTTGGGGCTTCTGTGCTGCTTTCTCTAAGAGCCTGTCTCCCTTTGTGATATGCTCTAAATTAGAGTGTGCAGTAATGATTAGGGGCAGGTTTGTAATCCTTGAGTAAATCTGGGGATTAATAATAGATATGATTTTTGTATGGAGGAATATTATCACAGTTATAAGATGACCCAGTTGTGTGTTTTTCAAATTGTTTAATGTAGAAATTATAATGAAAATGATAGTTCCACTTAATTTAAAAGCTCTAATCATATATTGTGAATACAATTAAAATATATTAGATTGGAAAACTTTTTGATTTTTATAAAAGATAATACATTAATATTTCTTATATACTCAGAATCCTTAAAGGGATAAACACAGGAAACGCAAGAGATAAAAAGATTAGAGTATGTAAATCGTGGAAGAGGAAATTCAAGTTGTCAGTAAGCCCGAACTTACTGCACTCAGGGAAATGCAAATTAACCTAACAAACATTGCTTGTGGCATAACAGTCTGGCAAAATTCAACCAAAATAACCTTTACTATTTGCAGAAATGGTCATAAAAATATGCCCTGATATTTGTTTTTGTTATTTTAATTTTTAGAACTCTTTGAGAAAGCTGTTGGCAATACATATCAAATTAAGTGTGTACATATATTGTGACTCAAAAACCTCTGAACATTTATCACATAGAGACTGTACATAAGGGTACTTTAAAAAGTATATCAATGGCTTCATGATTTGATAATAGCAAAAGAATACAAACGACTTGAATTCCTGTAAGCAGGTAATGCTAGAGTAAATTATGATATAACCAAGCTACTGAAAGGAACGGTACAGATATATAAGGACTGAGTTAGAGTTCTAAGAAGTAGTGTTGGGTGCAAAAAGGAGAAAGAATGGTTTATAATTAAAGGCCATTTTGTACAGCATTTTAAAAGAATTTGTGTACAAGCACAAATATATGGTCACTTGCATCTACCTATATTTGCCTATTATAATAGGAATATGGGGAAATTTATTTAACATTTGCTTTTTGGTATTGATGATAGCAGTTTATGAAATACTAGCCATAAAGGAATAGGAATAAATAACTATGTATAAGTTCATACATGCATAAAATTTTCATAAATATATAATCACCAAGTAAAAATGGCAGTTATCTCATTGTTTTGGTCCATCTAGAGACTTTTACTTTCTTACGTATACTTATGTATACTTACTATTTTAATTTTTATAAAAAATGCAAAAATAATCTTGTAATGGTAAAGGCAGTAGGAAAAAGTTTTGGAGATATGTCATCTATTGAATTTCACTTTTAAAATTACATATCTACTAGTATATAGTGTATATATATAGAGAGATAAGGTTTGGTTATACACACAATATATGATTTTATATAGAATATATTGCATAATATTTGACAGATGTTACAAAATGGAATAATTTGTAGATATTAGAAAGATCTCAGTTTAATTTTAATATAACATGCCCTATATATAATGCTGTTCATTTTAATGAACAAATCTGGTGTTAGATCTGAGTATATTTTATATACTCACACATGATAGTTTATGCTTGAATTTTAGATCCCTCTTAAAGTGATAATATTAAAAACCTACAATTTGAAGCATTATAATATTATCAAAATCCAATAACTTCAGAAAAATAAAGCCTCAAAACTGTTGCAGGCCCCATGGGGCTCCCCTGCACCCTGAGCCTTCATGTCCTCTGCACACTCAGGCCACTGGTTGCAGGTGGTCTGCTTCCCCAGCAACTGCAGACCAGCTTCAGCTTGGGCAAACCAGCACACTTCTCTGCCACCCAGAGGGCTGCTTCTCCAGTGAGTTCTGAATATCAGCTTCAGGGAGGAGGGCTCTTTCCATGGTTGTCCTTCCTTGGATATTCTCCCTCGACCCTAGGGTTTCATAGAACTTCCTTATAACTACTCATTTATCAAACTTTAGAAATTCTTTGTATCACACTTTTCCTGTTTAATCCACTGTGTGATTTTGATCTCTTCAGGGGACCCTAACTGATACATATGTTTAATCTTTTTTCTTTAGCAAGCCAGTCATTGCCTTAAGTCTGTCTGGTGGGTCTCTGCCTCTGTGGAGGGACACAGTGGGCTCTCAGTAAGTAACCATCTCCTAGAAGACCCTTCAATTTGTGTCAGTTTTGTTGGGAGGCCTTACAAGGGTGACTGTAGGGCTTATTTCCTATGGGGTAGAATCAGATAGTACCTGATTTTTAAGCCTTCCTTCCTTCTTTGTCTCTTTTAAATACTTCTCTCCTTCACTTTTCCTTCAGAATATGTGTTTTTTTGTTAGCTTTTTTTAATGCTAACCTCTCACCATATTATGACAACTCTGTGTCTCATGGCAGATATGAGTTTACCCAAGACAAGGACATTGACTTGCCTTTCCGAGGTTGAAGACCACTCTCAGGAATTTCCTCTGCCTTTCTTCATTCACCTGATGGGGATCTCTTAGCATGTTTTGGGAAGTAGACTGGTTGCTGTTATCAGACAGACCTTCCAATAAAAGGAGAAGTAGATGTTCAGTGCTGTTCCAGGTTACAGAGATCCTTCCAATGAGGGTATGACCCAAAAAGGCATACTTTTTTTTGAACAAGAAGAACTTTAAAGCAAGGGAAATCTTTAAAATGTAGAGAATTCCCTATGATTCTGGGTATTCCGAGTGTTCATCACCCCTCTTTGAGGCCTCGGTTGGGTCCAGCACTTGGTTGTGCTGTAAATGTGGAATGTTTTCCTCCCTTGCTGTCTTTACTTAGCAGCTTGGCTCCATTATGACAAAGGACGAGTAGATTGATGTAACTTGGTGCAGTGCTGGGCCCTACTCAACAGCTGCAGGGAGGTCTGGATGATCATATTCGCCATGTACTCACCATTCTTTTCCTTCAGACTGACGATTTCCTTTCCGTTGCATTGTCCAAACATACCACATTGTTGATTCCTCAGCTCCTTAAGACTCTGTTCAAATATCACCTATTCAGTAATGCCTGTTTTAGTCACCTTATATAAAATTGCTCCCCATTTTCCATCTCTAAACTGACTCTCCTTTCTTCTTCCTGCATTCTTTTTTTATTAGGTCTTATCACCTCACACATAATACATGGCGTTTTCTCTTTCTTTACTTTTTTAGTGTATGAATCCCTGCAAAACCATGTATGAAATAAAATTTTTGTGTGCTTTGTTCACTGTTATTTTTCTAACATCTAGCATTGTGTCTGGCACACAAGAATGCTCAATGAATGTTTTTTGAATGAAAAAATTGATTAAATGGATGCATGAATTAACAAATGTTAGTTTATTCTGTATACTTACTCCTTGATTTTGAATTTTTACACAATGGTTGCTAAATCCAGTGAAGTCATATTTGGTTCTTTAGATCATTCACTGTCGGCCTCACTCTGCACCAGCGTCAGATGACCTAATTACATGTTCAGGAGGGAGGCCATGACTTGAAGAATGCACAGGCTGAGTTACACAGGACGGTCTTTGGATCAGCCTGTTCTACCCTGATCATTCCCCTGGGGGGAGACAGAGGGCTAAGCACTTTGTAAGTGTATGACTCCTAGAATCTATGATTTCAGGAAGATTTCAGGAAGGCTGGTTATGAGGCATCTCCAACCTGTCAGAGGAGCTGGTAATTATGGAGACACTATACCCTACATGTAAGAGGAAGCCTGGAAGAGAAGTTGCCTGGAGCATATTTAATATAAGAGACTCGATTTGAAACCTGTTTAGTCAGAACCAATGATTTGAATTTACAACCTTTCCAAAGGGCCCTGGCTGTGCTGTTGATTCTCCAGTGGTTTGTGTCCCAACGTTTTCTGGCATTACCTAACCTGGATTCTGGTTGACAGCTCCTGATTGGTGCCTTCTGCGTATATATTGTCAGGATGTGGAATCCTGAAGTCAGTGCCTTGCCTTCTCTCAGGCTTTGAAGCATTTTTGTCTGTGCTTCCTGATCTTCAGGTCACCACCATGAAGTTCTTAGCAGTCCTGGTACTCTTGGGAGTTTTCACCTTTCTGGTCTCTGCCCGTAAGTAAAGATACTTATCTGAACATAAGTTTTGTGGGAATACACATAAAATATCTCCTCTAAAGATGTGGGCTTGTGGTTGCTTAGAATGTGCTTTTTTACCTCTCCTGTCCTAACTTGTTCTATTACCATTTTGACTGACCATTCAAGATGGAGAGGACTATCCTTAGGCTCTTCTTAATTCAGTCTGATCTTAATTCAATAATACCTTGGAACCCAAATTCATTGTTACTGTTAGTAAAATATGTTTAATAAATCAGAGATTTATTTTGGGAAAGGAAAAATGACCACATATTAGGTTTCTATTGGTTTTCTTATCTTATCTGTGCACTGGTTCTGCCTCAACTGGTACACCAAGGATGGAGGGTCTTCCGTTGTAAAGTCTGAAATATTGTCCATATTCTCTCTTACCTCCATCCTCCAAACTGGTATTCAGCTAACATCTTATTTTTGCTTCTCATCTTTCAGAGAGTCCAACAACATCTGCTCCAGTGGACACGTATCCAGCTAGTGAGTCTGCACCTGAATGTCATCTCTTTCTTGCAATGACCATTTTCCACTTCCAGCCTCATGTCAAACAGCCAGTTTCCATGTGGACAGTCTCGGTTATAAGGAATCCTAAGCAAAAGCCTGTGAAAGCTATATTCCTGATTTTAAAATTCACCACAAACATAGTGAATCTGCTTACGTCTTACACATTCTTAGAACATATGAAATCTAGGCCATAGACTTATACAAATGTGGGCTTATTATTCATTGTTTTTCAGCAGAAGGCACAATGAGGTCTGATGTGATGTTTCTCATGAGATCTGATGTTGTAGCCTGAGAATTTTTGAGAGATGCCTTTAATAAATGGAAGGACTGAATATATAGCCAGTGGCAAAAAGAGGCCAGTGGGTCTCAGAATGAAGGAAGATACTGTAATTTTGAAGTGATATAAAAATAAGTCCATTTGGATCACAAGCGAGGGTGGTGTGTGGGATGTGGAGTGCAGGGGTCAGGTAGAAGAAGAGGTCTAAGCTTTACTCTTTGAAATGGTGTATATTCCTTATTCCCAGGATGATGTTTTTTCCCTTCTCTAACCTGAAAATGAAAGTGGTGGACCAAAGTCTTTAGTCATTCTTGGGCTTCTCCCAAAGTGTTCTTCACATTCTGTACTGTGTGTGTGTTGTGCCCATGCATAAGTTAAGGGGATCTGTCTTTATCCTTCACATCTTGGTCACAAGCTTTAGTCAGACCTCACATATATTTTTCCTGGCATGTGAGGCCCCATTTAAAAAATATTCTCTCTTAAATAAGGCCTGAGACAGCATGGATAGATTGTGGGTTTGGAGGTGGAGCTACTTATTTGCTGAGGTGGGTTTAACTCACAAATGTGGGGTCTGACTCTTGATTCTTATCAATAGCTCTGGTGTAAGGTAATTTTCATAACTCTTACCCAGTCCCTTTTTACACATAGTAATTGATGGGGCATTTTTATTACTATCACAAGTGTACTAATTTCTCCTGTTATATCTAATGTGGCTCTCACAATTACCTCTCTAATAAACAGAGTCCAAGTTGTCACAAAGGGTGAGACAAATATGTCTCTTTTCATTCTAGAACCTGATAGAAGATATCTTACTGCACTCTAAGACAGGAGATATAACTCCAAGATGAGATACATCTTCTTAGTCTGCCTCCTCCTTCCCTCTAGAGTTTACTCACACTCATTCATGCTGCATTGGAATGTATGCTGTCTTAGGTTATTCTGTGGGAAGGCATCAGAATGTCAGGCTACTAGAGATTTCCTTATTGCTTCTGAGCAGTAGTCCCTGTGAATAGGAACACTCACAGTCTTGCTCTTTTGTGCTCATACTTGGGACAAAGTACTTGCTTGTCTCTTTAATCGGTGTCACTGCCCTTGGAGGGAAATCCCAAATTCTTTCTGTCCCAGCAAAGACAGGACAGGGAAGGGTGAAGCATAAGGAAAGAGGGCAGGTAGGCTAAAGATAAGACAGAACTGATGACAGATTTGCAGAGATGAATTCAGGAGGAGGAATGTATGTCCACCCCTGCGTGGGATAAATTTTGTTCCAGAAGGAACAGTCTCACCTAGAGCTTTTCCTTCTAATTTCAGCTGGCCCTGGTGATGATGAAGCCACTGAAGCTGAAACCACTGCTGCTGCAACCACTATGACCACCGCTGCTCCTACCACTGCAACCACCGCTGCTCCTACCACTGCAACCACCACTGCTTCTACCACTGCTCATAAAGGCATTCTAGGTAGCAAGACTCCTCCATCTGTGTGCTTCCTTTATGTGGCTCCTTGATTCCTTGGTTTCTCTGTTCTCACAGAGACCCTATTTTTGAGGTCAGGGAGACCTCTTCTTTACATTGTTCTCTAATTCCTTGTAGTTTTCTAAGTCAAGTCAACAGATAAATACCAGAGGAGTCAAGAGGTTACCTGACTTTTAGGTTACCAACATTACCTGAGCAGATCTTGAAATATTGGCATTTATTAAGGAAAACTCTTCCTTAGTAGAAACATCATTGGAAAGACTAAAATAAGTTTCTCCATGAAGCTAGGTAACTGCTTATTTACTTATTTTTTAAAATCAGGTAGGGGGTGTGTGTGTGTGTGTGTGTGTGTGTGTGTGTGTGTGTGTGTTTAAATCAGACAATTTAAAAATCAGGTAATCTAGTAAAATCTTTGTTTCCTTTAGAGAATTTTGCCAAAATAGAAAATAACAAGGAGTGATTTTACAATCTTTCTTGAGGCAGATTATTTTGAGTGCTCTTCAGGGTATTTCTGGGGTGTTGGACATTCATTGAGGATCAGTGTACATTCCTCCTATTCTGGGTTCACTTTTTCTTGAACTTTAACTTTCACGTAGTATTGATTACAACATTTGTTCAATCTGAACATATGCCAGGAACTGTGTCATAAAATTTACATATATAATTATAATTTAAATATCACAGTCATTCTATGAAATAAACATTTTAAAGATGAGGAAATGGAAGCCTTGCAATGAGAAACTTTCCTTTGATCACACAGGCAGAAAGAAAAAGGAAATTGCATTCAAACAAATGGAGAGTTACAATGAGAAACTTTCCTTTGAGCACACGGGCAGAAAGAAAAAGGGTTCAAATTGCACCCATACAATCAAAGTCCCTAAGAAATCTTTAAATATTGCTTTATACTTTCTCATGTCTGGGTTAGTGCTTGGAACTCTGTCAATAATCTGTAGAGCAGACTATGAGTGAGAAAATAGCTTTTCTCTCTTATCAGAAGAAGGCTGGATCTCTGTGCCATATTATAGGAAAACTCATACGTATTGACTTTCTTCTAGTTCTCTCTAAAGTTCCAACCTACTGGGCTTCCGTCTAGGGCTGTATTTCCAAAATCTTTAAGGACAGAAATTTGTTGTTTATCTTCCCGTAATTACAATCCCATGTTCCTTTCGAATCCCCTGAGTTTTGTTGACATTTGACACTTGTTAGTTCCCTCAGATTCTGAAGAATAAATCCACATTCTTCATCCTTTGTGGAAGCCTCTTGACAATATTTTTTTCTCTTACAGATTTACCCAAATGGCTTCAGGATTACCTGAAAGGCAAACTGTTTCCCTGAGATGGAATCAACTTGAGTCTTCTGCAATTGGTCACAACTAATCACGCTTCCTATGATTTCATCCAACTACTTACCTTGCCTACTATATCTCCTTTATCTTAATCAGTTTATTTTCTTTCAAATAAAAAATAACTATGAGCAACATAAAAATGGTATTTCTTAGGGACTATCGGGTGGTTGTCCAATGTTTAGACAATCCAAGTGACAGACACTTCAGATTTTACCTAATACTTCCTTGTGCTCCTACTAATAACTAGATTTCCTACTTGTTTCTTTTTTAAATAAGACACTTGTTTTGTGCTTAATACTAAAGACTACAGTTTTCTCTAACATGGATAGACTAATCAATACTTAATAGATACAAATGTTCAGTTTGATTCCGCCAAACTCTCCTATCAACTGACAGAATTTTTTTCTTATCTGTAATGACTTAGCACATGTGGTAAGAAAGAGGAAAGGAACTCCTGACATCTGGGTACTGGTTTGACACAGCCAAGTTTCAGAGTTGTTAGAGGGTGACTGGATGCTCACAGTTAGGCAATGGTGTTTTCCTGTTGGACACAATCTCACAAAACACCAGCATCAGACAAGGCCATTCAGTGACTGATGAATTGAGAGTAAAAAGAAAAACCAATGCATATTTTTTTTTTTAAGCACAGACAAAACCAGAGTTAATGTGCAAACCTTAGAATACTAAGCATTCCTCTCTCTCATTCAGTGATTGCTGCTTCACTATGAATTACAGGTTAAGCTTCACAGTAGTCTGCCCTCCTTTTAGATACTGTTTATCAAGAAACCTAATCTTAGCATTGTTCATATTTGCTGACAGCATCCAATCCAGAGGTTAGCCTCACTTCCCTGATCCTTCCCTCAAATCTCCCGACTCAAGCCCAAATCCTAAAATACAAAACACCCTGACAATAAGACACCTCTCTCAGTTCCCCATGGTGTGCGCTTTCTCCCATTGAAACAAGTAAGAAATCCAACTTTTTCAATCCAGATGTGCTCCTGGTGGTTATTGGCTAGAGGACTTTGACACCTGAATGCACAGTTGCACAACGTATTATATATGAATAAGTCATGGTATATTGGTTTTTTTCATTGACTTGATTATGATCAGATTCATCACTGGAACCCTGGACATCTCACTTAGGACTCTAATTGTGTACCTTTGAAGGCTTTGTCTTCACTCCTGATTGATTGATCCATTGGTGGGATCCATTGGTGGGTCAGACTCTTGAAGCATTACTCTGAATGATGTTGATGATCAGCAAGGACAGGTTATTATTAAGATTCTGTGTGTATTCTAGAAGCTGGGTTAGAGTCGTAGATGGAGGTTGCATTAGGATTCTGTGCTTTCTGTTTGTAAGAAGCTAGGTTAGAGTCCCAGGAAAGCAGAAATTATGTTAGAGGCTCAGGCTTCATTGTTTCAAATAACTGTGGGGCTGGAGATCTTTCTTACTGCTTCTTTTTTTATTTTATTTTATTTTTATTTATTTATTTATTTATTTATTTATTTATTTATTTAATTATACTTTAAGTTCTAGGGTACCTGTGGATAACATGCAGGTTTGTTACATATGTATACCTAAAGGATTATAAATCATGCTGCTATAAAGACACATGCACACGTATGTTTATTGCGGCACTATTCACAATAGCAAAGACTTGGAATCAACCCAAATGTCCCTCAGTGACAGACTGGATTAAGAAAATGTGGCACATATACACCATGGAATACTATGCAGCCATAAAAAAGGATGAGTTCATGTCCTTTGTAGGGACGTGGATGCAGCTGGAAACCATCATTCTCAGCAAACTATCGCAAGAACAGAAAACCAAACACCGCATGTTCTCACTCATAGGTGGGAACTGAACAATGAGATCACTTGGACTCGGGAAGGGAAACATCACACACCAGGGCCTATCACGGGGAGGGTGGAGGGGGAAGGGATTGCGTTGGGAGTTATACCTGATGTAAATGACGAGTTGATGGGTGCTGACAAGTTGATGGGTGCAGCTTACTGCTTCTTTGTTTGGAGTAAGGATGATTCTTTTCCTGACTCCTGGTTCTGGCCCTGGCCATGGGCTGGAAAATTCTTCTTAGCTCATTTGTTTCAAGTGAGGATGCACTCCATGACTCCTGGGCTGAACACTTTTTTTTTTTCCTGGTTCTTTGTGAGGTCTCTTTGTTTTCTCTATTTGATCCTGTCTCTCTCATGGGAACTTTTTAGTTGACTAAACTCCCCCTCTTGAACTCCTGCAGACTTTATGCTTCCCTGAATCTGCCTACCTCCTTTCAGTTGGCATGATTTTGCCAAGGATAATTTAGAACTTCATTGACCTCTTTGGGAAACTTACTATCTCCCCAAACTGGCTTCTCTAAGACTTCTCCTTTTCCATCAGTTCCTCTCTTCCTTCTTCTTACCACCTTGAATCTTCCCTTCAGCACCTTTGAATCCTTTGATATGTCTCCCTTTAAACCCTACCATTTCTACTCCTCTGTTCACTTCTGCTAGACTTTTTCCTCCACACTTCAATCCCTCAGCTCCTTATAATCACTTGAACTCTAAACCTTCTGCTACCACTGGGGGCTCCTAAGGGACTCAGTTTCCCCCAATAGCAACTACCTGAGGCTTAACAGATAAAAGGCTAATTGGAAACATACTAGATATTTTATTATCCATTTAGATGGGTATTGAAGCTATCCAAAGAGGTGCTTGATGTCTCCTTAGTCACTGGACTAGAATGTAGTCCCAGCCTCCATTAAATTGTCCATCAGAGCAATGAAAGGCTTAAAGGTGTTTTCAACAAATAATGGTAAGAACTTTAGCCCTCATGTTGAACGGGCAAATTTACCATGTCCCATTTTTGCTAGAAACACAATTAGGTTAAACATGTAAAGTGGTATAAAGATGAGATTCAACTGTTTTATATAAAGCAATGTTTTGTATTATTGACTCCTAACCAATCTTTAAAATGAAAGCTATAAAATATCTGTTTGCATCAGTGAGCATGCATGCTTATGCATATTTATGTATGTTTATGTATGTATGTATGTTATGTATATGTGACATTTTTCTATTGCTGGATTACCAAATCAATTTACAAATTCTCTTAAAGAACTTGTATTCAAATTGGCTTACAGACTGGTCAGTGCTTTTATATATATTAAATATTCCCCAAACTCCCAGATATATAAGTAGTAACCCAAGTATCTTTCAAATTCAGGTGACTTAGGGCATTTTTGGTAAAGAAGATTATTTTAATATTGTTGGTTCAATAAAAATAGCTACATTTTCTGATTGATTAGCATTAAGTATATGATCATACATTTTTATTCTTCTTGAGCTTACTAGCCTAACTAATATTATAGATATTGGATGTTTAAGATGATAACATTTACAAATTCAATCTAAGGACAAATGTGCAAGCAAAGATGCAGTAAAAATGAAATATGATTATTTCTTCGTGTATGCAAGGGATTGGCTCCAAGACACTTCCCATCCACTCGCCACCTGCGAATACTGTATTTTCCATCTGACTTTGGTTGAAAAACATCTGTGTGTAAGTGGACTTTCACAGTTCAAACCTGTGTTGTTCCAAGGCCAACTGTGCTTGATATCTATTACTTAATGTATTAAGCACAGTAGTAAAGAGAAAACAAATCCCATGTACTTAGCTTTTTAGGTTTTTGCTTTTGTAATGCATGCCTAACATGTATGTGTTGTAAATAATTTAACAGGTACTAATTTGTGAATGATGACTAGTTTTATTTGATGTTACAGTATGTCTGCCTAAAAAGAGTTTGAAAACTTAAGTGACTAGCAACCTAAGAGCTATGCTAAGTTAGGTAATACATATTCATTAATAATTTCTTTTTTTTTTTGAGATGGAGTGTTGCTCTGTTGCCCAGGCTGGAGTGCAGTGGCGCAAACTTGGCTCACTGCAAGCTCCGTTTCCCAGGTTCACGCCATTCTCCTGCCTCAGCCTCCCGAGTAGCTGGGACTACAGTCGCCTGCCACCACGCCCGGCTAATTGTTTTTTTTTTTGTACGTTTTAGTAGAGATGGGGTTTCACAGTGTTAGCCAGGATGGTATTGATTTCCTGACCTCATGATTCACCCACCTCGGCTTCCCAAAATAATTTCTTCTTTAGACTAGAAATGTATTACAATTTATTTAAACTTTTTGTGTGTATAGATGTAAATAGTTGCCAATATTTTCCGTTATAAACAGTGATATGATGAATATTCTTGTATAAGAGTGATTTTATACATGAGCAAATATAGCCGTAGGATAAATTCCAAGGAATAGAATTGCTGAAGCATAGATAGATTTTAAATAATCGTATGTGTTGTCAAATTACTTGCCACAAGGATTACATTAGGATAGACCTGAAGAAATTACTGTTTTATTTCTTAATGCATTGTAATAGCATAACTTTATGGGGCACAATTTGATGTTTTGATACATACATGCTGTCTAATGATCAAATCAGGACAATTTTTGCATTCGTCACCTCATGCCTTTACTTTTTCTCCCAGGTGATAACACTGAAAAGCCTCTCTTCCTGCTGTTTTGCAATATACAATACCTAACCGTCAACCATAGTTACTCTTCTGAGCAACAGAACACCAGAACTTATTCTTATCTAATTGCAACTATTTTGTAGTCGTTTACCAACCTCTTCCCTCCCTGTACTTTCCCCTCCTCTCCTCAGTGTCTAGTAACCACTGTTCTAGTAACTTCTATGAAATCAACTTAAGAAAATTAGATTCCACATATGACTGAGCTCATGTGGTATTTGTCTTCCTGTGTCTGGCTTACTTCACTTAACATAATGTCATCCATGTTGTTGCAGATGACAGGATTTCATTCTTTTTCATGGATAAATAGCATTCCATTGTGTATATATACCACAAATTTTAAAATCCATCCATCTATTGTTGGACACTTAGGTTGATTCCATACCTTGGCTACTGTGAATACTACTACAATAAACACGGGAGTTCACGTATTTCTTTGACATACTGACTTCATTTCCTTTGGCTACATACTCAGTAGTGAGATTGCTAGATTATATGGTAGTTCTATTTTTAACTTTTTGAGGAAACTCCACACTGTTTTTCCACAATGGTTGTACTAATT